ACTGAACAGAGTATTTGCCACTTTGAAATTCATCCAGTCACTGACCAGAAAACTGTGCTCGTATATACTGGAAAAGGGGGGTGTATGCCTGAGAACTGCCTGTGCTGCTGTAAAAATTGATAGCAATGATGTTATTCTGTCTAGTAGAAAGCATTCTGATTTCTCTATTTGTAATTTTGTTAAGATTATCGGGTGTGATTTTTTGAACTCAGTCCCAGTGACATCCCACCAGCTGGTTAAAACCAATTATACAATGTATCACAGATTATCACCTACCCCTATTGGGATGGACCTTACATTAGTAAAACAATTAATTAAGCACCAAGACCTACTGGAAATCTTGAAAGAAATCCTAAAAAGTGGAAAGAAAACCTTAATTACTGTCCAACATGATACAAAAGAAATAACTAGAATTCTGCAAAGAATAGAACAAAATGCAGATCATCACTGGTGGGATGTGGTCTTTAGGTGGTCACCAACTACAAATAGAATCCCTTATAAGTTGTGTCATCCTACTGTAATTTTGTTAATATTAGTTAGAGTAAGTTCAGGATTATCCATTATCAAACATATATGGTAAAGCACTAAAGTACACTTGTCATAGGAATTTGTATGAAGTAAAAGAATTTACTTCCTCCTTTTAGGAAAGGGAGGAATGAAGCAAAGTGAAAATTTTGCACTATAGAAATCCATTTTAATTTAGGTGAAATGTACATTTTTGAGTTGAGCCTGTGGTTAGAAATCATAGTTATTTAGCCAGGCTGCAAGGCCTAAGCTCAGTGAAGTTACTTCAGCGAAGGACAGAGATAAAGGGGGGGGGAGACAGAAGATGATAGAGAGAGACAGGGACTGTTGTAAGGGCAAATCAGCCTGACCTCGAATTTCTTTCTGATAAAAAGGAACTAGTGGTAAAAGTCACATGAAACCCATAAAAATGAATATGTATGAATCTATTGTGAAACTGTATGCATATGTATTTGAGAGGGGAATAAAAGGAGACCTGAAGTTCTCAGAGGTACGCATGCCTTTTGAGGAGAGTTTTCTCCACATGTGTCTGGCGCCGTAAATAAACATACTGAGCTTTACAACTTTTATAAAGCTGTGAGGTTTCTTCTTTTCTCCGCAAAACAGCACCCTGAAATGGGGAGAGCGAAGAGGGGGAGCTTTTGGCATTCCTGGGACTGCCAGCAGCCTGGGCAGGGCGGGCATCGAGGGGAAGGAGGACACCTAATACAAGCGTGACCCCAGCAGCTGGGACAGGGGGAACCCCCTGACACCAAAGGGGAGGGACCAGGGATGGGGAACTCCTGGGAGGCTTTTTCAGGGCTGAATCTGGGTGTTTGGGAGGTTTTTCTGGAGCCCAGTTGGCTAGTGACTTGTAAAGATGGACTTGGGCAGAGGAATCTTCAAACTCAACATGCTCATCCCTTGTTTTCCCCAAACCAGAATCTCCCATTGCCAACCCCAAGGAAGCTTTGAGGAAGAGGAAGATGCCCCGGGACACTGAGGCAGGTGAGGAGGAAGTCAGTGCCCCTTTCCCCTCTGTGCTGCTCCATCTCCCAGCCCAGCACGGCCCCGGCTGCAGCTCAGCCCTGGGGGGATCTCCTTGCCCTTGCCTGTGGCACGGAGGCAAATCCCATCCTGTCCTTGTCCTTCCTTCCCCAGAGCAGGAGCTGAGCATGGCGAGCAGGGAGGACAAATGCCCGCGGCAGAACCTGGTGGAAGAGGCCATTTTGAGCGGCTCCACGGTGCAGGAAGCCAAGGGGAGATGCCGCACGAGGAGAGGCTGCAAACGCAGCTGGTGGGGATCTGAGGGGGAAAGAGCCAGCCAGGGCCAGGAAGGTGGATGGAAATGGAGCCAGAGCTCGGAGCTGGTGCTCCATGAGCAGCTCCATGATGGGGAGAAGCCCCACACGTACTTGGAGTGTGGGAAGAGCTTCAGGTGGAGCTCCAGACTGATCATGCACCAGAGGATCCACACTGGGGAGAAGCCCTATGAGTGTGGGGAGTGTGGGAACAGCTTCAGCCGGAGCTCCCACCTGATCGTGCATCAGAGGATCCACACGGGGGAGAGACCCTACAAATGCGACGAGTGTGGGAAGAGCTTCAGCCATAACTTCAGCCTAATCAACCACCTCATGATCCACACTGGGGAACGGCACTATGAGTGTGGGCTGTGTGGACAGAGCTTCAGCTTGAGGTCCAACCTGATCAAGCACCAGATGATCCACACAGGTGAGAGGCCCTACGAGTGTTCTGAGTGTGGGAAGAGGTTTCTGACCAGCTCTGATCTCCTCTGGCACTATCAGAGTCACACAGAGGAGAGGCCCTTCTTCTGCCCCGACTGTAGGAAGGGATTCCAGCGCAACTCCCACCTCATCAGACACCAGCACATCCACACTGGGGAGAGGTCCTACGAGTGTTATCAATGCAGGAAGAGGTTTCAGACCAGCTCCCATCTCCTCCGGCACTATCAGATTCACTCAGAGGAGAGGCCCTTCCAATGCCCAGACTGTGGGAAGGGATTCAAGCACAACTCCCACCTCGTCACCCACCGGCGCATCCACACTGGGGAGAGGCCCTACAAGTGTCCCCAGTGTGGGAAGAGCTTCTCCAGCAGCTCTACCTTGACCCGACACCAACAGAGACACCGGTAAGGGAAGCCCTGAGAGTGCCCCGAGTGTGGGAAGAGCTTCGTGCGCTGCTCCAGCTCCATCCCCCACTGGAGGAGGCACTTTAGGCACAGCCCTGGTCACTCACATTCCCTGTGATCCATGTTGGGAACACACCTGGCTGCTTGTCTATTCATTTGGCCTTAATTTTTTTCTATTCTCCATCTCTCTGTACTCCAAAAGTCAATACAGATACATCTGTCACCTCAAAACCACTCAAATCCCACTGAAAAGAACTGAATTTTGACCCAAAAAGGCTCAATCCCACCTCAAATTCTTTGTTCCCTCCTCAAAAAGACTCAGTCCCAGGCCAAAGTCACTCAATTCCACAGCCACCAGGATGAGATGGAGTTGGGAGGAGAGTGGGAGAAGTGGAATGCCAATTTGGAGCAATGGGATGGGGATTCTCTGGGGCGGGGTGGGTGGGATGTATTTGATAGCAAATAAAACTTTCAGAGTTTTCAGAATTACTGATTTCTGTCCCGTTCATTTTCAGTCAGTTCTCTTTGCAGAGTGCTGCCTTCTCAGCAGATTCAATTCCTTTAAAAGTCCCAGTTTTTAAATCATCTAACCCAAACAATCCAGAAACCAATATCCAAATAAAACCACCCCCACACAATTAATTTTTTAAAAAGAATTTTAATTTTTCAAGAGTACTTAAGGATGTTATTAAAGTTTAATTGTTTGCTTAAAATGTATGAGAAATTATAGTGGTGTTTGGTTTTGTGTTTAGTGTATTTGTATATTATATATTGTATGAATTGGTTTACTAAGGTGTGTTATATTGCATGTTAGTTTTTTTGGATATTTTTTATCTAAAGTACATTAGTTATTGAGTTAAAACTTTCAAAAGGTATTTCTTGGTGTATAGTTTGTTTATTAATATGCATTGGTAATATTATAGTAATAGTTGTTGGTTTGGGTTGAATTATTATTGTAGTATTGTAAAGAAGACTTGAGATTTTTATATTTCATTTTTAGTATAATTTATTTCATTTCAATTTAATTTTTTTTTGTTTTTAATTTTATTGCATTTTTTGAGAGGATAGGAAGGAATTTCAAGAGCAGGAATACCTTTTCCTGTCTTGGAAATGGAATTCCAGACCCTGGGAGTGTGTGCAGGACCATACAGACTGGGATCAAATATGTACTGGGATCCTATGGGTTGGGGCTGCACAGAGTGGGACCATATGGATCAGGACCACACAGACTGGGATCACCTGGATTGGGATCAAATATGTACTGGGACCATATGGAATGGGACCATACAGATCAGGATGATACAGACTGGGATAAACTGGGTTGAGATTTTATGGACTGGGATTGAACAGACTGGGATTGCACAGACTGGAGTCACACAGACTGGGAAAAAGCTTTGGCTTCTTTGGCTGCCATCCACTTCTGAAGGTGGCCACATCAAGTTGGCTTGATCCTGTTTGGGAATCCCATCCGCCTCTTTCCCCCCCACTCTCCCACCCCTTCCCCATCATTCCCCCAATCCCCAGTCATTCCCCAGTGCTTGGTTTTGGGGGTTCCAGGCCCCTCCTGCTCCCTTTGGTTTTCCGGACCCCCCTTGGGTTTAATTTGGGGCCCCCATACTCTGATTGGCCAGAATCTGTTTTGGGGTGGGATGGGCGGAACTGGCTACCCCAGGACTCCCTCGGGTTTGGGGCTTTCGATCCCCCCTCGGCCCTCGGGGTGGCCCTGGGGCCACCCAAAGCCCCCAAAATGGGGAGGGTCCCCGGGGCCCTTTGGAACCCCCAGAAATGGGCAGGGAGCGGCAGGAGCCGCCCCAAAAAGGGATTGAAGGGTCCAGGCCGGGAATGGAGGAGGCTCTGGGGATGGCTCTGGTCTGGATCGGGGCGGGCTGGGATTGAGGGAGGGTCCGTTCAGCGGCTGGGGAGGGGCTGACACTGGGGAGGGGTCCGGGATTGTGGGCATGGGTCCATTCCGGGACTGGGGCAGGGCCTCTCCCTGGGATGGGGGTCTGGGACTGGGGCAGGGTCTCCCCCCAGTCCCCTTCCCAATCCCGATGCTGATCCCAATCCTAATCCCAATCTCATTCCCCATCCTGTTACCAATACCGATCCCGCCGCTGTTTCCAGGGAATGGCTCTGATCTCAACCCCGACGCCAAAGCTGGGGAATCAAACACTGGGATCAAGCACCCCAAATCCTGGGGTCAACTCCCCCCGACCTCAAATCCTGGGGGTTGAAACACTGGGGGAATCAAACATCTCCAAACCCAGACTCTGGGATCTCAGCACTCCTCTCCCCCAGCCTGAATCCCAAATTTTAGGATCAAACCCCCCAAATCCCAGATCCTGGGGTGTCAAACACCCCCAATCCCCAAAGTTTAGGGTTAAAACCCCCAATCCCCAACTCCTGGGGTTTGAAATATCTGGGGTGTCCAACCCTCCTCACCCCCAAAGTCTGGAGTCAAACCCCCCAGTCCCAAAACTCTGGGGTCAAAGGACCCCATTCCCAAACTCTGGGGTATCAAATCCCCCGATCCCCCAATATTGGGGTTAAATCCCCCCAAATGCTGGGGTGAATCCCCCCAATTCTCAAACTTTGTCATGAAAACCCACTGACCCCAAATCCTGGAGTTTGAAACATCTGGGGTGTCCAACTGCCCTTATCCCAAAATTTGGAGGTCAAATCCCCTGACTGACAAATGCTAGGGTCAAAAACCCCCAAATCCCAAATTCTGGAGCCAAACATCCCCAAACCCCAAGTCTGGGGTCAAAAACCTCCAAATCCTAAACCCCGAGGTGTCAAACCCCCTCAACCCACAAATTTTAGGATCAAACCCCCCCAGTCCCCAAAATTTGGGGTCATGACCCCCCAGTCTCCATATCCCCCCAAACCCACTGCAACCCTGGGGGGCACAGTGGGGTTTGTTTGGGGCAGCTCCAGGTGCAATGTCTGCAGAGAGACCCTGGGTAAAATGTTGGGAAAAACCCTCAAATCTTCTCAGGAACCCCAAAATCCTTGGGGGCTGGGAAAGGGGATTTGCAGTGGGGATCTGGGGTGGCAGAAGAGGATTTGGGGTGAAAGAAGAAGGATTTGGAGTGAGGAAATTTGGGGTAGAAAAAGAAGGATCTAGGATGGAAAAAGGATATTTTTGGTGTGAAAGAAGGAGGATTTGGGGTGGGAAAAGGGATCTGGAGTGGGAAAAGAGGGTTTGGGGTGAAAGAAGAAGGATTTGGGATGTACAAAGAAGGATTTGGGGTGGAAAAAGGAGATTTCAGTGGGAGAAGGGCATTTGGATGGGAAAATGGGTTGAGGGTGTGGATTGCGGGACCAGAGCAGACCTTCAGATGGGTCCGTTTGGTGCCGCCTACCTGGCTGCTCCCAGCGCCTCCAGAAGCAGCACTGGCTGGCTCTTGGCCTTGCCCATGCCCATTCTAGCAGGGCTGGCCAGAGGGGAGCAGCCCCAGGCTGTGCCTGTGTCCCCAGCCCCTGTGGGCAGTGTGTGGCTGCTGGGCTGGGCTCCAGAGGGGAATGGCCTTGCAGCAGAAAGTGCCCAGAGAGCCCAGAGCCGAAGAGTCTCTCCCCTGCAGGCACTGCTGCTCCGGTGCATTGAAATATTTCCAGTGCTGGAGTGGGCCGATGGCTGTTCCTCATCCCACCCAAAAGAAGCTGATGGTTGGATATTGTCAGAGAATTTCTCTCAAGTTAAGCCTGGCAGGGGCTTCTTTACAGGGAGAAGCTGTTACAATAAATACCCTGATGCCTCCCCCAGGCTCTGTGTGTTTCAACACTCTTGGCCTTTCTTGATGCTTCTCAAATGAAAAGAAATTCCTGGGGCAGCAGCAGCAGGATTTACCTCTCACCAGAAAATACTGTTACATCAGTCGGTTTTCCAGTCCATCCAGCTCTTACAGTGGCTATCCTGGCATGTGTCCAAACCCTAAAAGTGTTCATATCCCTAAAGGGTGACACAGGGTTTTTCCTGTTGTTAAGACCTGGAAGACTTTGAGGTTTACAAATAGAAGGGGGAGTAATTACAAGGTGCTGTACTGTATTTATAGTGGTCTTTTAATAAGTAATACAATTACAGATGCACCATGATAGGAAAAAACCTTGTTGCCGGAAAAATTCCTCAGTATACCTGGTTATTCTCAAGATCTATTGCTGTCATTGAGTAGGGAAAGACGGACAACAAGCCATGTCTGAATAACAACATATTCATGTTGTGCTCTCTTCCTGAGTCTGCTCTCAAAAGATCTGGGATTGACAAAACAAAAAAGGAATTTTAAGAGCTGTTTTGGTAATTTCAGAGAAAGTTTTAAAGGGAGAAGGGATTGGGGTGATGAGGAGGCTGTCATTACCTATCCTTTTCAGGGCTGTCTATTGTAGCAAAAATGAGCAATGTGCCCTGCTGGTGTTTAGATTTTCTGAGTCCCTCAGCTGTGAGTTGGGTTCCCATGCTGTCCTGCCTGCTGCTTGCTGGATGTGCTGGAACAAAGAGCTTGGGCCCTTGATGATAATGACCACAAATGAGTTCCTTGTGATTTACTGGGCTCAGAGTAAAAGGGATGAAATTCAGGTTTGATATAGAAAATACTTCTTCCCTGTGAGGGTGGTGAAGTCCTGGCTTCACAGGTTGCTCAGAGAAGCCGAGTAAATAAAGTTTCAGAATTCTTCCTTTCTGTCCCATTCCTATTCCATAAGTTCAGGTTTGGTTTTCAGAGTGCCACCTTCTCAGCTGGTTGCCATTTGTGTCCTGCTTTCTCTCCTGCCTTCCTTTGTCTCCTCCTTTTCCCTTCCAGGGTCTCTTTTTACCTGTGGCAGCTCCCAGCCAAAGACCCTCCCCTGATTTTATTTTTTCCTTCCCCATCCAGGTGCTCAAACAGCCCTGGATGAAGTTCTGGAGGCTGGCAGTGAAATGTCTTTGTAAGATCTTGCTCCGCTTGTGTCTTGGCCTCTTCAGAATTTGGCCTTGAAGGGCAGGAGCATCTTTTCCGTGCTGGCAGCTGGAATTG